CTCCAAACACGTCTCCATCGTCGTGTGAGGAGTTCCTCTCTCCTACCCCCCTGACACGTCCACGTCGTCTTGATCTTAAGGCTGTAGTGTATGACTCGACGTTTCTTCTTGGTGGTTGTATTAAAAAGCTGTTTTTTTTGTGTTTTTTTGCATCTCCAGAAACTTGCTTTGGTTGAGGGATCGCGAAGGTAGGCTGGTGCGTTCATGCGGTCGTGTTAGTTTAGTTAGGTGTTTGTTTGTTCAGGTGGTGGGTACCTAGACCACCGTTAGAGCACCTGTCTGTACAAACAAACGGATGGTGTCAGCCACGCCTGTGTCAATACTTATTACTTGGAGATGGAATTCCTACTTTCTCTCCATCTCCCCGCCCTTCCCCCTCTTACCTTTTTCTCCTCCTCCCTCCTCTTCTTTTCCATCCTTCCCTCCCCGCCTCTCCTTGTGTTAGTGTGTTATTGTGCTCACGCCACAACGAGTTACGCGTATGTGCAGATCTGACATGTTAATGAAACCTTACCTGACATAGTAGTGGCCGGTGATATATGGGCGGCGGTGATGAGTCTGGCGTGTGGGTGGCGACGCCCAGCCCTCTAGGCCCAGCTGCCCGCCCGCCACCCGTGAGCTGGGCGGTGTGGTGCGGATAGAGGCAGATCAACACTGACCCAACACCACCGTCCAATCATCTCCCCTTCACCCACCACCACTATCCTACCACCATCCCTTCAACCAACCACCTATCCCCCATTACCCTAATAAACCGCCTCCCCTCCGCAACCATCACCCCGGCCAACCACCACCACCAACTACTCCCCTTCTCCCCCCACTCCACCACCGAAATCACTCCTTCACAACATACGCACCTGCAACCATCACTCCATCACCATCATTGTAACAGGAGTATATTTCCATACTACTATTTAAGGCTTCTAAGCCAATAAAAACACAGGAAAGACATATACATTACTTACCCAACCAATCACCTGTCTGCTTCTGGCAACCACTATCGCACTGCCAGCTCCAAATCACCACCACTACCTCCATTACCACATCCCCACCTTTACCCCCACCACCACATCCCCACCACTACCCTTACCACCATATCCCCACCATTACCCCCACCACCACATCCCCACCACTACTCTTACCACCATATCTCCACCACTACATCCCCCCACCACTACCCTTACCACCATATCCCCACCATTACCCCACCACCATACCACCACCACATCCCCACCACTACCCCCACCACCACCCATCCCCTTACACACCGACCTCCGCCCCTCAGTACATCCTCGTAGTTCACTCTTGGCAGTTTACACTCACCTCAATTACAACAAATGAATGTAGACTCGTATAATCAACTGCACATCGACACGACCTTGTGTATACGGTACTAACACACCCAGATATAGTCACCATAAAACTCACACACAGTTACAGTCGACAACAGTTGGGTGTCTCAAGACCCAGGTGTGTTATAAAAATGGATGTATATTGACGGAGGTACACATGCTCACTGACATTACCTTAACCAACGGCAATAAATTCGTTCAGATAGAATTTTATGTACTATATAAGTCACTCCAACAAAGCTACAATAAATGAACAAATTGAGTTTTCGCTATTCAGGCGCGTTATAAAAATGGATCAATATTGTGACCCCCTTGTGGTGACGTTATTAAAGAGTGGTTAGTTACACAAGTGGTGGCTGTCACTCGAGCCTGACACACGGGGGAGTCGACCAGTATCTGGGAGGCGATAAAGAAGGTAAATCTGCTGGTATCTGGTAGTGGCAGTCTGGCTGGTAATGACGTCGGCGCTGCTGGTGTGGCGTTCCCTAGGTGACACCTCTGGCGCCGCCGCTGATTTATGCCGGGGTGGGGGGTGATCACACATGACTTGGTAGGCGGTGGAGGGTGTCCAGGTGGTGGTAATGGATAGTGTTAATGATGATGAAAATAAGCAAACAGAAGTTGACTATACAAAACTGATAAGTTTACAGTATATTGTACATATTAAGATGAAAATTAAGAATACGTGGATAAGGAAGGATGTCTGAATATAAGCTTTATTATTGGAATAACATGGAAAATAGTGGATGTCCATGTTTCTTAGTCGGTGTCATTTTGTAGCGACTGGACCTCCATGTTGGTTATGGGTAGTTACTTGACCTAGAGAGGAGAGGTGGGGAGGTAAGACACGTGACTTATCCATGCTTTCTGCTCTCATGAAACCCAGCCTGGCGGAGATGGTATGGCTGTGTCCCCCATATTAAGAACATAAGAAAATAAGGAGTCTGCAATAGGTCGGTTGGCCTGTGCATGGCAGCTCCTGTCGAGAGTTACAACCATACTCTATCGTCCATGAATCTATCTAGCCTCCTTTTAAAACTTTCCAGCGTTCCAGCACTTACTACAAAGTTGCTAAGCTTGTTCCACTCGTCTACCGCCCTGTTTGTGAACCAGTTTCTTCCTATCTCCCTCCTAAATCTACTTATCCAACTTAAATTCGTTGCTACGAGTCCTATCCTGCTCGGATATTATAAGAACTTTCTCTATATCGCCTTTATTGATTCCTTTCACCCACTTAAATACTTATATCAAATCTCCCCGCACTCCTCGTTTTTCTAGGGAATACAAGTTTAGTTTCTTTAATCTATCTTGATAGGGAAGGTTTCTAAGTCCCGGAATCATATTCAGTACTACATTATAATATGCGGTGTACCGGGATTTTTACACTGTAGCTTTCTTATACCTAACCCAACCCAACAGACCAATTTCCAGCTCGGTAGACCACATAGTAGCACCCCATATTCTTAGCTCTTCACATCCTACTTTGAAAAAGAAAATTGGTACCTAAAATTTACTGCAGCATTGAACCAAAAAATGCTGATTTGCAACTGGAAAAAAACCCACATCTTTTTTAAAAATTCTAAAAAAAAAATTGTATGGTTTGGCCATTGCCTTGTAGACTTTTTTGGACACTATCTAAAACTTATCAATTTTATTGAATATACTCTTCATTCTCTCCTGTCCCAAGTCGAGTAACATTCTTCTTTAAGAGGTTAATTCGAAGGGAGGGAGAGCGAATGACACTGAATGCTGCTGTAATTTCAGTTCACTCCTTCCTCTTCCGATCACTGACTGCACAACCTGTCGATCTGTCTTCTTTACATTAACCGCGGTTTTGTCTCCTACTCTCCGTCCCGTATCTTCTCCCCTCCTCCCCCTCTTCTTCCCCCTTTTCCGTTACCCCTCCCTCATTTACGCCTCCCTTCCTGACCTATCAGTTCACGTCACCTCCCCTTTCCTCCTCCCCTTCTCCTGCCCTCAATGACGGCCTCTTCCCCTTTCTCTTCCTCCATAACCTCCCCACCACTTCCCCCTCCCTCCATAACCTCCCCACCACTTCCCCCTCCCTCCATTCCCTCCCTCCATAACCTCCCCCACCACTTCCCCCTCCCTCCATAACCTCCCCCACCCTTCTCCTCCATAACCTCCCCACCACTTCCCTCCTCCATAACCTCCCCACCACTTCTCCCTCCATAACCTCCCCACCACTTCCTCCTCCAACCTCCCCCACCACTTCCCCTCCCTCCATAACATCCCCACCCTCCCTCCATAACCTCCCCACCACTTCCCCTCCTCCATAACCTCCCCACCACTTCCTCCCTCCATAACCTCCCCACCACTTCCTCCCCTAACCTCCCCCACCACTTCCCTCCCTCCATAACCTCCCCACCACTTCCCCCTCCCTCCATAACCTCCCCACCACTTCCCCCTCCCTCCATAACCTCCCCACTCCTCCCCCAGTGTGTTATGAGTGGGGGATGGGTGTAGACGGCGCCTGGGTGTCCGGACTGTTGATAAGGAGTATTATTTGATCAGCGTGTAAGTAATGGCGATCACACCTCGGCTCACACGCTGTTTCCCCCTCCTCTCCCCGGTAAGTGAATGATGATAGTGGTGGTAAATATAATGGTGGTTTATCATTATTATTTTCATCCTCCATTTTAATAGCTTATCGTATTTCATGATCATTATCTTGTTTGCCTCATCATTTTATTATTATTATAATTAATTTTTAAATTTTAGTAATAATAGTAGCAGTACTAGTAGTAAAAATAGTAACGTTATCAGCAGTATTGATATTGGAACAGTATTAGGGTTGTCATTGGCCAGTAGAAACACTACATAGTAACACGGTATAAGAAACGTGTCAGAAGGGAAGTTGTGTAAGACCCTAGCTGGCTCACTGGCTCCTATAATGGGAGGGAGTTTGGTCGTTACGGCTCTCTCTATTACCTGGTGGAGGATTAATAGGGATTTACTGTATTGTTGATAGTACCAGTAATTAACTGAGGGGGGGGGCGATAGACAACCAGAGTGAGAGAGAACGTTATGTGCGTGTGAGAGGAGCAGGAGGAAGAGAGAGAGAGAGAGGAGGAGGAAGAAGAGAGTAAGAAGGACAATAGAAAGGAGAGATACGGTGTAGGAAGAAGGATAAAACCTTTGCTGAGAGAGAGTAAGAAAGAGATGTTTAGACTAAATGGTGTCTGGATAAACCGAATTATATTTAATCCTTATCTTTAAACTCGCTGTAAGTAACTTTAGTGATTACCTTTAGCACAGGTAGCCAGCATAGTGTAGCAATTTTCGGTTAACAGATAATTTAAACCCCATACCTACGTTTTTTTTTTACCCACTGAGGTAGATAAACCAATTAACCTGTAATTCTCTCCCCACTGAGGTAGATAAACCAATTAACCTGTAATTCTCTCCCCACTGAGGTAGATAAACTATTTTACCTGTAATATTCTTCCCTTGTAGGTAGATGATAATAAGTCAATTAACCTGTAATTCTCTCTCTACCACACGCATATAATTAATAGTCAAATGACCCGTGTTTCTCCCCACTGTGGAAGATATGCCGACTGACCATTTTCTCTCCCCACTAGTAGACAATCTCCCCTAACCAGTATCTCCTTCTCTCCCCGGCAGACCATCATGAAGAAGGTGGAGAGAGCAGGCTGGTTCTCCCCCCGCACGCTGATGGACCACTGTACCAACCTGGGCATGGTAGTGGACCTGACCAACACTACACGCTACTATGATTCCAACGTCAGTACCAACTCCTGTCTTTGTTTTGGTATTCATATTAGTTGTTACTTTAGTTGGTGTTGTTCTTATAGTTCGTGTTTGTTGTTATTGTTGTAGACACAAGTATTTTATTTATCTTTGTGGGAAAGGAAAGTCCATGTACTGTAAATTTAAGTGAGATGGCTAGGTGTCGTGTTGGCTAACTTGATGTTCTCTCCCGGTGCAGGAGTTTTCCAACCAGGGGATCCAGCACGCCAAGATCTTCACAGAGGGGAAGGTCGTCCCCAACCAAAAGGTCGTCAACAAGTGAGTACATCATTTATTTGGCAGTGGATCAGTTTTATTGTGCCCATTAGCACGGGGGCTTCTTGCGTGTGTTACCTGTGACGTTCATCCACAAATTTGGGATGTGTGTGGCTAAATAACTCCTAAAAGGGTTTGGAAGGGTTTGGACAGGTGTTAAGGTCATCCAGGTGATGTGTTATGAAAAATTGAACCCCTTCACAAATTGTGCCAAGATAAATGTAGGTGATTTAGGTATGTGTAGTGGCCATGGCCGTTCATATTATGTGGGGTTAGCATAGTTATAGTGGCCGATTACAAGTGTACGATGGTAGATTAACTCACCTCGAGCTAAGTGGTGAATGTAAAGAGAAGGGGAAAGGTGATAAACAGAGACGGTCTTAAGGTGTGTTTATACCTGGCCAGAGGACGCCCATCAACAACAGGTGACACCATCTTTAGTTGTCACTGTGTTCGTGGTTTCACTTCATTTACTTTTATAAAATTGTCTTTAGATGTTATTAATTGAAGATTTTGTTTGTTTGTAAGTGTTTGTTCACAATTTGGTGTGAGGTGATATTATCGTGTCTGATAAGAACATTGTACTAACTAGTGTGTACAATGTAGTAGGTTACATTACGATTAGTAAATAGATGTAACACGTGACAAACAATATATTATTGTCCTTTTTCATATTTACAAGCAGGTGAAATTCTTGTTGCCTTTATACAGGTAGTAATTGATTACAGGCAGACTGGTGCACTGGAGATGAGTACACACGATCGCTCACGAAGAGAGACGTACACAGGTGATGTACTGTACACGGGGTTGAGAGGCCTCGGAGTGGGGGTACGTGGCGCCGTGGTCGCACCTTACTCGCATATATAATAAACCTGGCTGAAGGGGGGGGGGGGGGTGCGTCTTTTGTTGAAACTTTTCACGTGTTGCCTTTGAAGAGGAAGGTGCATCTCATTTGTTTTCTTCCATCTTGTGTGGTGCCGTGGTCAGGGTGAAGGAGGATTGTGTCGCTCCTCTACCTCACATCTCTGATAGGTTGTCCGCGTGTTTGATGATGCCCTTCTGGTGATGGAAAAGAAGTGGAAATGGAAACTAAGTAAATCGATGAACGAGTGACTGAGGTAGGTTACCTAATTTCCGCTTCTCCTGATAATGTTTGTTGCGCCTGATGGATGTTTGTCCAATCAGAGTATCACCTTTTGGCTTGTCCTGGACTGTCGCACTTCACGCACCAGACTGTCGCACCACTCGACCAGAAGACGCCTCACATATCACTTGGGTGTGAAAGAGTTTATCTGTACCCCCGGGCTTTCTCTCCCCATTCCTCCCGCAGGCAGGTACGAGATGATTCCCACACTTACGTCCTAATTGTCTCAGTGTCGTATGTTTGATTTATTCTCCACGTAAATGAAAGGTAAAGCTGCCTTCTCACACGCCTCTTGGCAGGTAAGTTTGGCTGGACGAGGAAGCACCACATACGATGCTTAGAGACACCCCCCATCATACTCCTCCCCCCCCTCCTCCTTCCCCCCTCCTCCTTCCCTCCTGCCCCCTCTTTCCTTCCTCCTGCCCCTCCTCTCCTCCTGCCCCTCCTCCTTCCCTCTCCCCTCCTCCTTCCCCTCCTTCCCCCATGTAGCCTTATATGGTGAATACTAAATCGAACCCATGAAAAAGGTTGTGAAATGTTAAGTGATTTTCACCCCTCAGACAGGTATTAGCCGCTCTTCTCCCGCCCTGAGAGTGTCAGAGTGACCCCGTCCTCAGGTAACACAGGTATGCCTATTACCCTCACCTCATTTTCTAGGTCATTGTGTCTCCACCAGACACACGTCTCCTCTGTTTGGGTCACTGGTTATTACAGTTATTCTCTCTCTCTCTCTCTCTCTCTCTCTTTCTCTCTCTCTCTCTCTCTCTCTCTCTCTCTCTCTCTCTCTCTCTCTCTCTCCTCTCTCTCTCTCTCTCTCTCTCTCTCTCTCTCTCTCTCTCATTTATTAGCTGTTCAATGTTTTCCTCTACATATTCATTTTTAAGTTGGGGGTGGTGTTACAGCTCTGAGTCTATACATAATTCCTTGGTGCATTTGGGTGATGCAGGGGTGCCAGCTATAAACCTTGTTTTTCAGTTGAGAAAAGGTCTTGCCCCCCCCTCCTCAAGAGTGTCTGATTTGGCCGTTGCTAACCTGTCCGATTTCGTCCGTAAGTAATGATGTATTTCTAAATGAGTTTATTCACGTTGGGATGACCGTTTTTGGCGAGATTGATACATACTGTGCATTCATAATTTCAAACATAAGATAAATTACGTATCAGTAAAACTACATTATGGCGACGAAGTGCGTATTTCCCTTCCTTGTATGTGTTGGGATTTAGGTGAGGGGAGGAGATGGAGAGGCTGGGATGTGGTGAGAGAAGGGGCAAGAATGATGCGGGAGACGAGGAATTATCTCCTTCTTTGTCTCTCTTCCTTTAATAAACATGAGACTTATGAATTACATGAAGAAAACAAAAATCTGTACATCCCCACCAGATACCAGTCACCATTTTCATTCTCAGTTGGCTGCCTTTACCACCAATCGCAGATATTTTGTGTGTGTGTGTTCCTTACAGTTTCTTTCATCCCTGTCAGTCTCTTGTCTTCCCTTATCCCACCATACCCCAGTTACACACTCTGATATCTCTCACGTCATTCTCTCAGCACCTCCACAACTAAGTGAGCTAAATGTGGGTTGTGGTGTCCCAAGAATTCACTCCTTTTGGCTTGACATTCTTGGGAGACTTGAGTAACTGACACACTTGTACCTGTAGAGTGTTACCTGGTGCTGGCGAGTTAATTGTGACCGAGATCTGTAATTAGAGAGAGAGAGAGAGAGAGAGGCGGGCCAGTGTACTTCAGTCGGTATTAAGACCTAAGAATATCACCGCCTTAACACACTCCAAAGGTAGAAACAAACACACGGGTAGACACACAGATAAGAGACCGAGTTTTGGAAGGCATATGTATCAGTATTAATCTTTAACACACACACACACATACATTTTACCCCCACCACACACACACACACATTCCCCCACACACACATACACACATTCCCCCCACACACACACACATTCCCCCACACACAATAATATTTCCCCCACACACACACACATTCCCCCCACACACACACACACACATTCCCCACACACACATACACACATCCCCCACACACACACACACATTCCCCACACACACACACCCCCACACACATACATTCCCCACACACACACATTCCCACACACACATTCCCCACACACACACATTCCCCACACACACATTCCCCTCACACACATCCCCACACACACATGGCTCCCCCACACACACATTCCCCACCCACACACATTCCCCCACACACACATAGCTCCCCACACACATCCCCCCACACACACATTCCCCCCACATTTCCCCCACATTTTCCACACACATTCCCCATTATCATTACCTGGTTAACACCAACCACAACTGTCTAGGACCCCTACTGTCCCCCCACCCTCGTGTGTTGATATACTTCTGTGCATAACTCATTTTGTCCAGCCATTATCCCTCCTCCCGCAGGCCTGGGAGGATCGTGCCAAAATTATGGTTTGTCTGTTTGGAAATTGATGATGGCTAAAGCGGGTATTGGTGGTTGTTGTTTTAGTGGTAGTTGTGGTTGTTCTGGTGGTTGTTGTTTTAGTGGTAGTTGGTGTTGTTTCGTGTTGTTACTTTTTGTGTATTAAAGTTTCATGATTGGGTTGGACCATTTCACTGTCTGTTTGGAAATTGATGATGTCTGATGGTGGTAGGGGTAGTGGTGGTTGTTGTTTTGGTGGTGCTGGTGGTTATTTTCATGGTGGTCAAGTGTTCCGTGTTGATATGGTCGTGTTTGTCAGGTTAGGTTAGGTTTAGCCAGGTGAGGTTACGTTTATTTGTATATTGTGATTAATATACAAATTTTGATTCGCTGTAGAATATTAAATTTTTGCGTCTTAAGCTTTTTTTTTTAATTGTCGAAAAGTTGTAATTTTGATGGCTGGAAAACACTCACACACACACACACACACACACACACACACACACACACACACACACTAATTTTGATGAAAAGTAATTTACTAATATAATTTTTGATTTTCCTGTCCAAGAAAATAGTTTCAGAGAATATTATAATGGAGTCGACGATGTTGGTGTCTGAGGGAAGGACAGATATTATTTATTTATTTATTTATTTGTGTATTTATTTGTTTATTTATTTATTTATTTATTTATTTATTTATTTAATTATTCATTGTAAGGGAGTGTGTAGAGAATAGGTGTACTATTTATACTGAAATTATTACCAGTACGCCTTTTTATTTCTTAACTGAAAATCAAAATAAAAAACAAGATAGAAAGAGAAAAGTTGAGAAAATATTTATAATTAGGAAGAAAAAATATGATTAAAATACCGATATTTATAATTAGGAAGAAAAAATATGATTAAAATACCGATGGAAAAAATATACGTTAAGAATGTTTCTGTACCTCAGGAGAAAAGAAATAGTTAAGATTATTAAAGAGAAAAAGAAATTCAGGATTAAAACAATAAATGGGTAATGGGTGGAGAGAGAGAAATGGGTAATGGGTGAAGAGAGAGAAATGGGTAATGGGTGGAGAGAGAGAAATGGGGAATGGGTGGAGAGAGAGAAATGGGTAATGGGTGAAGAGAGAGAAATGGGTAATGGGTGAAGAGAGAGAAATGGGTAATTGGGTGGAGAGAGAGAAATGGGTAATGGGTGGAGAGAGAGAGAAGTTATTTACTTATAAGTCAAACTAACAAAAACAAGATTGAAATATTAAATGAAAATTAAAAAAAAATATATTACTCTGGCCAAAATATTAGGGTGATAACAAATAAGGGAAGATTGGGAGAATTTTTTTTATATATACAAGGTAATTTAAAAAGAGAAAATCGTAAGACTTTAAATAATGAAACAAAGGAACTGATAATT